TTTGCTTTAAAAAATATATAAAAAGTGTATTTCTCCTTTGGGGACAAAGAATGAGGACAGCATCAGGAAATTATCTGGCCAGGTGCAGTGTCATTTACACTTATAATCCCAGCACTTTGGGAGGCCAAGGTAGAAGGAATGCTTGAAGCCAGGAGTTCAAGACCAGCCTGGGCAACATTGCAAGACCTCATCTTTATGCAAGAAAAAAAGAAAAAAAAAAATGATCTTTCTGAGGCTCTATCTAAAGGTGGGTATCCTTGGGACACAGCCACCCAGCTTCTATTGTATTACCCAATCTATAGAAAAACAAGCAAAGGTCAAGTGTGGGAGCTCACGCCTGTAATCCCAGCACTCTAGGAGGCTGAGGCAGGTGAACTGCTTGAGCTCAGGAGCTTGAGACCAGCCTGGGCAACATGGCAAAACCCTGTCTCTAGAAAAAAACACAAAAATTAGCAGGGCTAGCTGGGCGTGGTGACTCACGCCTATAATCCCAACACTTTGGGAGGCTAAGGTGGGCAGATCACCTGAGGTCAGGAGTTTGAGATCAGCTTGGCCAACATGGTGAAACCCTATCTCTTCTAAAATACAAAAATTAGCTGGGTGTGGAGGTGGGCACCTGTAATCCCTGCCACTTGGGAGGCAGAGGCAGGAGAACCTCAGAGGTGGAGGTTGCAGTGAGCCGAGACTATGCCACTGCACTCCAGCCTGGGTGACAAATGGAGACTCAAAAAGAAAAAAAAATTCATTGCTCAAATTAATACATATGTTAAGAGGCTATTTGACAGGACACTAAAATTTTAAGATCTACTTAAGAGGTTATTTCTTGGATTGTGTTAGGATGCAACGATGGGAATGGCAGTGTATTTCTAATTTAGTTAAACAAGACAAACTTAAAAAACAAATATGATGGTAGAGGAATCCCTATGCCTTAACTGGATGTATTACAGCCAAATATAAAGGTACTCCTTTGTGCAGTCAAATGAATAAGAAAGTGTTAAACTGTTTTAAGAACACCATCTAAGAATTATTTTTTTCCCTTGAGAATTAGACTGAATAACCTCTAAGATGTTTTCCCTTTTGACTCTGGAATTATTTAATACTAATTTTCAGAATTCTAGAAAGATTAAGAAAAAATGCAAAAGAAATCAACTACGTGTATGGCTTCATATATTTAGATATTTTTAAATAAAGACCAAAAATAAATTCAAAGTAAAGTGAAGGTTCTATTTGAAAAGGAAGAGTAATATTTTTAATTCAAACTCATAAGTTTCTAAAATTTTTCTCTAAAAAATTTTGTTTCAAAGATAGGCATCTTTAATAGTAAGACAGACATTTCTTATCACTAATATATATAATTATCTTTAAATAAGATTTAATTCATGTTTTTCTAGAAATAAAAAAAATAGAAGTAAATATTAAAAGTTGAAACAGATGGAGCTGGCTGGGCATGGTGCCTCATGTCTGTAATCCCAGCACTTTGGAAAGCTGAGGCAGGACGGTCACTTGAGTCCAGAAATGCAAGACCAGCCTGGGCAACATGGTAAGACCCTCCTCTCCACAAAAAAATAAAATTAGCCAGGCATGGTGGCACACACCTGTGGTCCCACCTACTTGAGAGGCTAAGGTAAACCCAGGTGGTTGAGGCTGCAATGAGTCTTACTGTACCACTGCACTCCAGCCTGGGCAACAGACCAAGAGAAGATCCAGTTGATCAGGCACAGTGGCTCATGCCTGCAGCATTTTGAAAGGGCAAGGCAGGTGAATCACTGAGCCCATTCGAGACCAGCCTGGGCAACATGGCGAATCTCTGTCTCTATAATAAATTCAAAAATTGGCGGGCACAGTGCTCATGCATGTAATTCCAGCACTCTGGGAGGCTGAGGCAGGTGGATCATTTGGGGTCAGGAGTTCGAGACCAGCCTGGCCAACATGATGAAACCCTGTCTCTACTAAAATTACAAAAAATTCGCCAGGCATAGTGGCACACACTTGGGAGGCTGAGGCAGGAGAATCACTTGAACCTGAGAGGTAGAGGTTGCAGTGAGCCAAGACTGCGCCACTGCATTCCAGCCTGGGCGACAAGAGCAAGACTCCATCTCAAAAAAAAAAAAAAAGCAAAGCATGGTAGTCCCTGTTACTCAGGAGGCTCAGGTGTGAGGATCGTTTAAGCCCTGGAGGTCAAGGTTTCCATAACTGTGATCACACCACTGCACTCTAGTCTGAGTGACAGAGCCAAGATCCTGTCTCCAAAAAAAGAAAAAGAAAAAGAAAGATACAGCTCAATCACCTATAAAATTAAACCTAAAACAACACAAACGTAACATGGATGGCTTATAGTTGAGTATCAACTAATTTCCCTGAAGCAAAAACCTCCAGCTTCAAATTATACATTAACTTCAATCAGCTTAAAAATGGATTCTCGACTAGAAAATACTTTGAAAATCACAAAGTAAACACATAATAAACCAGAATCAGAGACAGTAGCTTAATATTTATATTAATTCATACCAAATTATGTTTTTCCTGTAAGGCAATTTCTTCTGACATTATTTCTCTGAGTGATACTTTTTTAGTTTGAATATTCCAATGATCCAACAAAGATAGCATTTCAGGTGCTGCTAAAGTCTTCAGTAACTTTTTGCCTGTTCTCTGAGATGATTTTTGTTCAGGGTTATCAAGACCAGTATTTCCAACCAAGGAAGGATCTACAAAGTAGAATAAATACTGTCATATTCTCAACAATAAATGTACAAATTAAACATTATTCACTCTGTTACATTTACCTCAGAGACTAAGGAACAATATTTCAATTTTCAGTTTGTAAATATAACATAACTCTAATATTGTAAAATACATCTTCACATAATTTCACATAATTGCAAGTAAGAAATGGTATGTGTTAATGTAGCAATATTTTAAAAGAGCAATGATCTGTGTATAATTTTAAACTGACTCAATGCTTCCCACTCTTTTTCATATCACATCGACCCCAAAAATGGTGACAAGTATATAGGACACTGGTAAACAGAGGAAGTTATAGCCAGCTGGAAGTAAGCAACTGGAACAGCTATAGTCAGCTTTGCCCACCCATTCTAAGGACCAAGAAGATGGATTATTTTAGCAAACCTGTAACTCAGTGAAGGCATACAATAAAGACTGGGCAAATGATATTCAAAATACTGTAAGGAATTGAAAATTCTAAGAGGTTCACAATAACAGAATTTAATGTGTAACCTTTCAACTTCTCAGAGGGATATCAACACATTCTGATATATTCCTCTGCTGTCCTGGAGAGTGAGGAAACAATAGACACTGGCATTTGCACACCATCCTTTGGGCACCTCTCTCCCTACATCAGCCGCAGCTCTTGAGACTACGACAAGAACACAGGTCTGGACCAAAGTGGATCCTGAGTTCAAAGTGGAACTCCTTGCCTTGGTCCCAGGGTGGAATGGACAGTGGAGGCAACTGGAGGAACTCATGCACAAAAGGAGGATGCTTACTAACAGGTTTGCCACCCTGCAACAGCCACTGAAGACAACACTATCTAAGAGAAGTATCTGGAATCAAATATTTTCAAGTTGGCAGGATGTACCAAAAAGCAGGCTGGGTTTTGTGATCTAACAATACTGACATCAATAAAAACTTTGAATAGCCAAGGAATAGTTCAATGACATTCTTGATCAAACACATAAACACTTTATTGCTCTCAAACCAAATGTCTTCCTTCATGCAGAGCAAAATCTCAAAAGGAAATACGTTGAAAGTATACCCTAGATGTTCCACAGCACTCATGAAAGTTAAATATATAAATTATAGGGGCTTTTTTCCCCTTTAAGTTTTATTTTATATCAATATTAAATATTAAATATATTTAAAGAACTGCCTGGGCGCGGTGGCTCATGCCTGTAATCCCAGCACTTTGGGAGGCCAAGGTGGGTGGATCACCTGAGGTCAGGAGTTCACGACCAACCTGACTTCTATGGTGAAACCTCGTCTCTACTAAAAATACAAAAATTAGCCAGGTGTGGTGGCATACGCCTGTAGTTCCAGCTACTCAGGAGGCTGAGACAGCAGAATTGCTTGGGAGGCAGAGGTTGCAGTAAGCTGAGATGGCACCACTGCACTCTAGCCTGGGTGATAGAACAAGACTCTGTCTCTAAATAAATAAATAAACAGAACTTTTATTTCCCAATCAAAATTTGTGGGTACTGTATTTTGTGGAAGTAATTTAGAAGGAATTAAAATTCAAACACACACACCAAGTTTCAACGAGACCAGAACAAGACTCTGTCTCTAAATAAATAAATAAATAGAACTTTTATTTGCCAATCAAAATTTGTGGGTACTGTATTTTGTGGAAGTAATTTAGAAGGAATTAAAATTCAACACACACCAAGTTTCAACATTAAAACAAGAACATTAGAAATAAAAATGTGTGCTTTACCTTGCATAAGCTTGCCACAAGACAGCTCTTCTTGTCTTTGTCGTTCCTAAACACAAAAGCCAGGCAAGAGATTGGCCAACAAGGAGTGAGTTAGTAAACAATACAAGGTTATATTATTTTCTCTAGAAATCATTTCTCCTTGTATAATTATAAACAATTCTTACTAAATCTAAGTAAAACAATAAAGTTAGATAATAAAAATTATGAAGTATGAATACAGCTACATATTTTTTTCACTTATAGAATGGTAAAAATGCTGCATTTAAAAAAAAAAAACTTTCTTGTTATGGAAAATGGTCTGAAAATAAATTTTAAAATGTCTTTGCAATTTAACTAATCAGCACTGAAGTCTTTAATTTCAGGAATGAAAAACTCACTGTTCATAATTTTTTATCTTGACAAAAAAAACAGGCCAGGCCTACTGGCTCATGCCTATAATCCCAACACTTTGGGAGGCCAAGGCAGGAGGATCACTTTAAGCCAGGAATTTGAAACCAACCTGGGCAATATAGTGAGACCTCACCTCTATTAAAAAAAAAAAAAATTGATACCCTGAGCGTGGGATTCCGCGCGTGCGCTCGGCTCCGCCTGGTGAAGCTGTGGCCGGGAGGCGACAGGAGTATGTCGGCCCCGTTTGAGGAGCGGAGTGGGGTGGTTCCGTGCGGGACCCCGTGGGGCCAGTGGTACCAGACCCTGGAGGAGGTGTTTATTGAAGTTCAGGTGCCGCCAGGCACGCGCGCCCAGGATATCCAGTGCGGCCTGCAAAGCCGGCATGTGGCGCTGGCGGTGGGCGGCCGCGAGATCCTCAAGGGCAAACTCTTTGATTCTACAATAGCTGATGAGGGAACATGGACTCTGGAGGATAGAAAAATGGTTCGTATTGTTCTTACCAAGACAAAGAGAGATGCAGCAAATTGTTGGACTTCTCTACTAGAGTCTGAATATGCAGCTGATCCTTGGGTACAAGACCAAATGCAGAGAAAGCTTACATTGGAGAGATTCCAAAAAGAAAATCCTGGTTTTGACTTCAGTGGAGCAGAAATCTCAGGAAACTACACTAAAGGTGGACCAGATTTCTCAAACCTTGAGAAATAACTGCTTTTTCTCCTGCGTTCTGTGGATCCTAGCAGATATTGCCAACTTAATCAGAAGAACAGATTATGTGATGGAAGAAAAATGGGGATGCCTACAGTTAACAAATTACAAAATATATTTTAAAATGGTTCTAAAAATTGCATTGAAACATGATTTATGTAGGAAACATACTATGGGAACTATTCTTTGGATATATGGTAAAGTTTTTTTGGACTTCTTTTTGCTCAGCATGAAGTTTTATATACTGCATTTTACTAATTCCATATTTAACCATATTTTTAATACAAAAGAACATTGGAATATAGATCATGTGAAATGAAGGGTGCCTTCAGGGAAAATTAAGTTTTTCTTTTGATGAATACAATATTCAATAAAGTTTTCTAAATAGGAATTGTGTGTCCCTTTGCCTAAGTACAACAGTTCACACAAAAAAAGTATAGTGCTAAAAACAATTCTAAGAAAGGAAAAAGTACTTAAATGTATTTTAAGTAAATTAAGAGCGAATGAAAATTTCTTAATTAGAATATTATTATTTGAGGAATTACTTTATGTCAAGAAGTTTAAAAATAGTTAAAAGCCTAACAATAGAAGTGGATTGATACAGAAGAGAAGTACCTAAGTGAACGTGGTAATTAGGTGAGTCCTTTGTTTGGAGCAGAAAGTGAAGTAAGGTCAGTAATTGTGTATCAGTGGCATCGTTTTGATCTTAAGTGATTTAGGCATATAGGTAGGAATTGTCTATAGACATTTTATTCAATATCCTATTTATGTCCTTTTTACTTATTTCTTGTCCTTTTTAATTCTTGAAAAAATTTCAAATCTCGTTCATAGAAAAGTTACGATTTCTTTCTGAACCATTTGTGAATTAGTTGAAGACATGTTGCCTCATTACTGATTACTATTTGCTTTAGATTACCTTACATGACTACAATGCAGCCATTAAAATCAGAAAATTTACCTTGACACGTTACTACCCTCTAATCCTCAGACCTTCACTTAATTCACATTGAACTGATTGTCCCAGTAATGTCCATATAGCAAGAGGATCCAGTCAGAATCATGCCTTCTATTTAGATATTAGCTATCTTTAGCCTACTTCATTCTGGAACAAGTTCTCATTTTTTCCTTAAGTTTCACAACTTGGTACTTTTGAAGATTACAGGCTAGGTTTGTAGAACATCCCTTATTTTGGATTTCGTTTGATACTTCATGATAAAATTCAGGTTATTCATCTTTGGCAGAAATGTGATAGGAGTGCATCCTGTCATAGTTTAATAATTTCAATTTGTCTCATTTCTGACGGTTTTTCTTAGATGACTGATTAAGGTAGTATCTGCCAGACTTCTCCACTGTAGTTATTTTTATAATTATTTTTTTGAGAAGATAGTTGCAAAATACTACCTTGTTATCAGACTTTAAATTTATTATATCTCTATATATAGACATGATTTTCTATTCATTGGGTTAAAAACCTATTTTCAGTACTTTGATGCTCAGAATTATTGTACATTTGGCTGGTATAAGACCATTCTGGGTGGCCTCTGTGTCCTTCTGACATGTTCCCATCATTATTCAATCAATTGTTTGTCACTGTCTGGCTTAAGGTATACCAGGCTTCTCATGCTTTCTTTGACTAGCCCAATAATCAGCCATTTTTCCATAGAGCCTGGGTTCTCTTTAGTGGGTAATATTTAAAAGCCAAGATCTGTGCTAATGTGCAATTGCTGTTGGTGTGTATATATAATGCATGTCTTTACATCTGTATTTTTGTATCTATGTATATTGAAAACCATGAGTTCACATGTAAATTATAATCTAATGGGCTTCATTTTCATTTTTTCCCTTTCCATATTTATAACTCCCTTTAGTAGCAGTGAGAAACCTGATTTCTATTTGATTCTCTATTGTAGATCATCTCCTCACATGAATGTCTTCCTCACCCTGCTTCGGCTTTGCATCCCATGCTAAGCAGGAATGTCCTCCTCACCCGGCCTGGACCCTAACACCTCACTCCAGGCCATGGCAGTCCATTCACCCTATGATGCCTATCTTGCTCATTTTAGGAATGAATTGTTGGGGAAGAGGCTATTTTTCTTTTGATTCTCTTTGACATTTAAAAAAATTTATTTTGAGTAAACAAAGTACAATTAACTTTTTTGGTGTTTAGTATGGTGAATTTTAAGTATAGATATGTGTAAACATCTCCACATCAGGATATTGAGGAGCTCAATCACCATAAAAATTCTGATGCTCTCTCTCTGTAGTCACAGCCTTCTCCCAGCCCCTAAATGGAAACCATTGATCTGATCCCTGTCTCCATGCTATTGTCTGAAAGCATGTCATAAATGGAATCATGTAATTAAGAAAAACAGCTTTATTGTAGCAACATACATTTCACCTATTTAAAGTGTAATTCAGTAGCTTTTAGTATATACACAGATAAAGGCAACCATTCCCACAATCAATTTTAGAATGTTTTCATCATCTCAGACAGAAACCTTGTATAGTTTAGCTTTTATCCTTTCTTCATCCCAGGCCATCAATACAACCACTTTTCATCTCATAGATTTTCCTATTATGGACATTTCACATACATGGAATGATAATATGTGGTCTTTGATTACTAGCTTCTTTCACTTAACATGTCTTAAGAGGTTTGTCTATATTCTAGCATGTATCAGTACATTCATTAGTATGTCTGAATACCTCATTGTATGGCTGTATCACTTTGTTTATACATTTGTAAGTTGAACATTTTGGGTATTTCTACTTTTTGGCTGTCGTGACTAGAGCTGCTATAAATGTGTACAAGTTTTTATGTGCATATGTGTTTTCATTTCTTACCTAGGAGTAGAATTTTTAGGTTATATGATAACTATGTTAATCATTTGAGGACCTGTCAGATAGTTTCCTAAAGCAGCTACATCTTTTTACTTTCCCACCAGCAGTGTAGACAGGTTCCAGTTTCTCTGCATCCTTGTCAATACTTGTTTACCTGACTTTTTTATTTTAGTCATTCTAGTGGATATGAAATTGTATCTCTGTGGAGTTTTGGTTTGCTATTTTCTGATGACTGTGTTGAGCGTTCTTTCTTGTGCTTATGACTGTTTGGGTATCTTTCTTGAAGCAGCATTTATTCACATCCTTTACCCATTTTTCAGTTGTTGTTGTCTTATTGAGTAGTAAGAGTATATATTCTGAGTACAAGTCCCTTATCAGGTATATGATTTGTAATTTCTCTTATTCTAAAAGGAGAAATTCTCCTATTCTCCTTTTATTTTGTTGATAGTGTCTTCTGAAACACAGACTTAATTTTGATGCTTATGGTGGATCATGTTTTTGGTGTCATGTCTAGGAATCTTAACCCCAGGTCATGAGGAATTTTTATTTAGTGGTTTTTTTTTTTTTTTTTTTTGGAGACAGACTCTTGCTGTGTTGCCCAGGCTGGAGTACAGTGGCATGATTTCTGCTTACTGCAACCTCTGCCTGCTGGGTTCAAGTGATTTTCGTGCCTTAGCCTCCCAAGTAGCTGGGACTACAGGTGTGCACCACCACTCCTTGCTAATTTTTTTTTGTATTTTTAGTAGAAATGGGATTTTACCATATGGGCGAGGCTGGTCTTGAACTCCTGACCTCAAGTGGTCTGCCCGCCTCTGCCACCAAAGTGCTGGGATTATAGGCATAAGCCATTGTGCCCAGCCTACAGATTTTTTTCTTCTAAAAGTTTAATAATTTTAAGTTCTATATTTAGAGCTGTGATCCACTTTAATTTTTATGTAAGTTGTGAAATTTAGGTAGGTTTTTTTTTTTGCATATGGATGTTCAGTTTTAAAATTATTTGTTGAAAAGTTGTCCATTCCCCCTTGAGTTGTCATTTCACTGTTGTCAAAAATCAGTTGTTATTTATGTGAGTCTAGTTTTGGACTCTATTACATTGATCTATGTGTTTATCCTTTCATAAATACCACACTGCCTTGATTATCATAGTTTTATAGTAAGTCTTAAAACTGGGCAGCCTGATTTCTTCAACTTTTTTCTTTTTCAAAATTGTTTTGCTAATTTAGTTTCTTTCCCTTCCATATGACGTTTGGAATTAGCTACTCTGTATCTACCAAAAATCCTACTGGGATTTTGAATGCAATTTTGTGAGTCTTCCAATCCATGAACATGAGGTATCTATATAGGACCTCTTTGATTTCAGTCATCAGCATTTTCTGTTGTTTTCAGCCTATATGCCACAGTGTTCATTTTGGGGGAAGTATTGTAAGTTGTATTATTTTTGAAACGTGGGGATCCAGTTGCACATTGCTAGTATATACAAATGTGTTTGATTGTTTATTGACCTTGTATCCTGTGTCCTTGCTAAACTGTTAGTTTTGGGAGTTATTTTGTTGTTAACTCATTAGTTGTCTACATAAACTACAAATTGGAACAGTTTTATTTTATCCTTTTGAGTCTGTAGGCCTTTGATTTTTCTTGCCTGATTGCAGAGGCCAGAACAATAAAGTGGAGAAAGTGGCCATCCCAGTCTTGTTCTGGATCTTAGGATTTTGAAAGCATTGTCTTTGACCATTAAGTATGCAAGCTGTATAGTCTTTTCATCAATTCCCTTTGTCATGTTGAGCAAGTTCCTATCCATTCGTTAGCAGTTTCATGAGTGGATGTTGAATTTTCTATAATCTTTCTGTATCGATTTGGTCTTTTTTTTTTTTTCTCTTTGGACTGTTAATATGATGGATTTTATTGATTCCAGAATTTTGAAACAGCTTATTTTTTCCTCCCAACCCCAAACTTGGTCATGGTACATTATTCAGCTTATATGTCTATATTTTATTTGTTGAGGAGTTTTATGTCTGTGTTCATTTTGGATATTGTGCAGTATGTTTTTGGGCTTTTTTTTCCCTTGTATTATCTTTATCTTGGTATGGTATCATGTTAATTCTGGTCTTATAAAATGAATTGACAAGTGATTATTATTTCTGGAAGAGATTTGTAGAATTTGTGTTAAATCTTCAAATGTTTTATGAATTTGCTAGTAAGGTTTTAAACAATTCAGTTTTTAAAGAGAATTTATTGAAGTTTTAGTTTAGTTTTGGTAGTGTATACCTTTCAAAGAATTGGTTCATTTCATCTAATCCTATGTGCATAGTTGTTCATGGTATTTTCTTTGTGTCCTGTGTCCTAATGAGGATCTATACTGTTATCTCTTCTTTGATTCTGAAGATTAGCAATTTCTCTTTGTCAATATTGCTAGAGATTTATCAATTTTACTGCTCTTTTCCAATAACTAGTTTTTGGTTTTGATTGTTCTCTATTAATTTGTTTACAATTGCATTGATTTTCTGCCTTTTTTTTTCTGCTTGCTTTAGGTTTAGTTTGGGCTTCATTTTCCTTTTTTTTTTTGTAGTCAGGTCTCACTTCACCACCCAGGCTGGAGTAGTGTTGTGATCATAGCTCACTGCAGCCTCAAACCCATGGGATCATGATCTTCCTACCTCAGCATTCTGGGTAGCTGGGACTATAGTGGTGGTGTCACCACACCCCATTAAATTTTCCTAGTTTCTTAAAAGTAGGAGCTTATTGATTCGCGACCTTTTTCTTCTAATTTAGTAAAAAGCAGTTGATTGATATAAATTGCAGCACCAGTATGGCTGCATTCCAAGCACTGTGATATTTTCATTTAGTTTAAAATATTTTTTGAGACTTCCCTGTAGAATCATGAATTATTTAGAAGTGTGTTGTTTAATTTCCAAGTGTTTGGAGGTTTTCTTGCTGTTACTGATTTCTAGATGATGGTCAAAAAATACACTTTGTATGATTTTATCGCTTTTAAATTTGCTAAGGTTTAAGACCCATGAAGTGGTGTCTTTTGGTGAGTGTTCCATGTGTACTTGAAAAGAATGCTTATTCTGCATCTTTGCTAATTTTCTATTAATTCTGTAGACTACTGAGGAATGTTTTCAGTCTCCAACTGTAAATGAAGATTTGTCCAGTCCTCTTTTTAATGCTGTCACCTTTTGCTTCATGTTTTGTTTTGTTTAGTCTTACCCTCTCACTCAGGCTGGAGCATAGTGGCTCTGTCATGCTTTTCACTGCAGCCTCAAACTCCTGGGCTCAGTCTTCTCATCTGAGCCTCCTCAGTAGCTAGGACTACAGATGTACATCACCATGCCCAGCTAATTTTAAAATTTTTTGGTAGAGATAGGGTCTCCCTATGTTGTGCAGGTTGGTCTTGAACTCTTGGCTTCAAACAATCCTCCTACCTTGGCTTCCCAAAGCGCTGGAATTACAGGCATGAATGAGCCTCTGCACCTGGCCTCTTCATGTATTTTTATCATTATATGTCCCTTGGCAATTTTAATTGCTCCTGTTCTTTGATGAATTAATATAAAAATAGGCTTATCTTTTTATTTTTTGGAACAGAGTCTCACTGTTGCCCAGGTTGCAGTGCAGTGGCATGATCTTGTCTCACTGCAACCTTTCTGCCTTCCACTTTCAAGCAATTCTCCTGTCTCAGCCTCTGAGTAACTGGGACTACAGGTGTGTGGCATCACACCTGGCTGATTTTTGTATTTTTAGTAGAGACAGGTTTTACCATGTTGTTCAGGCTGGTCTCAAACTCGTGGCCTCAAGTGATCTACTCACCTGGGACTCCCAGAGTGCTGGGATTACAGGCATGAGCCACCATGCCCATGTCCGGCATCAAAAATAGGCTTATTTTTAAATTCATCTTATTTGACTCACATTTACTGTTTCTAGTTTCTGAAAAATAGGTTTCACACTTAAATAACACATTTTATCAATTTTATTC